ACGCCTTGGACCTCCATGTTTAAAGTTGATCGCCCTGCCTGAAACCCGGTGACCCGCTCTGTCCCCGTTTGGGCCACGCAGGGTTTCTGGGCTTGGAGCCACAGATGGCAAAGATGGCCGCAAGAGGTGGATGTGAGCTGTGTCACTTTTAAAGAGCAGACTCAGACCTGAACACAAGGCGGGCCTCATTTTAAAGCCAAGGTTCATCAAGCAGAGGTGTCAAACATAAGGCCCGCGGGCCAGAATCGGCCTTGCAAAGATCCAAGGACAACATGAAGTTTGCTGATGAAGACCTGCCTCAAATGATGAAGAACAGATAAAGAATTACATTTTTTTCACTCTCGACTGTAATAATGTTTTTATAGAAAAATAAAAACAGACGTTTTCTGTGAATTAACAGAAATATTCAATCTGAGCAGCGAGCCACAGAACCGCTCTGATTTTACACATTTCTTTCTCTTCATGTAGAAAATCTTCTTATTCACATATCTCAGGGATTAAGTGTGTGGAGTTTCACCAGGATGCATGTGTCCCACCGTGTTGAATCACTTTGACTTTTGCTGCTTTAAAGCAGGGGTGGGGAACTTCAGGCCTCGAGGGCCGGTGTCCTGCATGTGGCTAAATGACCTCCTCAACATGTCTCAGAGTTCTCCAGAGGCCTGGTAATGAACTAATCATGCGATTCAGGTGTGCTGACCGAGGTTGAGATCTAAAACCTGCAGGGTGGAGTTCCCCACCCCTCCTTTAAAGGAACCAAAGGCAAAATAATCCAGAGGTGTAGAATTCCAGGAACTAGGCATCGGATGCTCAGTACTGACGTGTCGATGCAGGAAGTGCAGATGCTTCCAGACTGTGCTCAAAACACCCGCATCGCGTGACCACGGTTAGTCCCGACAGGTGGCTTTTACCTGGAGCAGAGCTGGAGAGTACCTGTGTTTTCAACCAATAAAAATGTTTCGATATGACCTGTTTGAACTCTGTTCCTCCATTTTCTCTCAGAGAGCTTCGGTCCAAACACCCTCCTTCATTTGATCTTATAAACTGGTTTGCTGTGCATCGCTAACGCTGTAGCGGTTTGCTGGTGTTGGAGGGCCGTTGTGAACGTGGCGCTGACGGACCGGGACAGAAGTCGTTTAAAGGAAGCCGTTAGCGCCGGCTCTGTCAGATACGCCTCACCCTCTCACTCTCTTTCACCCTCATAAATGTCTTCATTAGCTTCCGCTCCATTGGCCGGCTCATGGCGTTAAACTCATGTGATGCGTCACAGAAACACCTCAGGGGTGTGACGTTCAACTTCTGGAACCCTGCTAAGGGGCGGGGCACGGAGCTTGGAACAGATGACCATATAAGGCAATGAGCTGCTTTGAAAGAATGAGCAGTTATTTTTGAGGTTGTGTGCAGATGGCTTCCACCACACCGCTGTGTGCTCAGTATGAAGGCGTGCACCGCTGTCTCCTTTGATGATGTCAGCTGTATTTTTAGGCTTCTGATTGGCTGCAAGCTGAAAAAAAACCATTTCATCGTAGTGTCGCTGCTGCTGGTGTCATCGCAGTGATGTTCAGATAAGTTTAAAACAAAGTGGACGACACAGCGATGGACACGTGCACCACCTTCCATAATCCCTGATATTTCAGCCTGTCTTGTGCACGGTGTAAGAGCACGTTCGGTTTATCGACAGCTGACAGAAATCTTCGCACTGTGACGTCATTGCTACCCTCCATCTTCCTCACACCGCTGCTGCAGTGCGCACTGACAGCGCTGTGCCCCCGTCTTGATGTTAATACTAAAGAGTGTCCTTTATTTAAAAGTGCTCCAAACCTCACGGCCCTGCGTGCGGGAGTCAGTATGAAATCATGAAATCACTGTGATTAATCACAAAGAGCTGAGTTCAGTTTCACTGCCGCACTCAGATCACTGACAGATGTCAAACAGCCTCACGCCACCATCTAACAAAGTCAGTGACATCATCAGCCCAAAAGGTCACAGAGACAAAGGCTTCGGGACTGCAGTGAACCACGGAGAGAGCCACACGTGGAACAGCGCTGAGGTTTCCCAGGAGCGCCATCGCCGAGTGTCAAACATGTGACCCGTTTTACAGGCGTGGGTTTCTGCTCAGAGTGGGTGTAGCTCCACGCAGACGCCTGCCGGGCCCGCGGACTGATTTATGTGCTCCATCCAGATGTTGCTGAGAGAAAGTGACACAGACACTCACGTCCCTCCTCTGAGACACCGACCTCTGAACTCTGACCCCTGTCTTTTCCCACTCTTCTCACAAAGCCGGTTGAGAGAACACGTCTGCGCTGTGGTGATGACCTCGGGCCCGATAATAGAAGCAGAGCCGTTAACTCGCCGTCGGCTCATTGTTGGGCCCACAGTGGCTGTTGCCATGACGGCCGTTCAGTCGGAAACGAGGCCTAACGAGCTAAGCGTCCACATCAAAGACTCGCACGCAGACGGCGAGCAGCGGCGCCGCCTGCAGCCCGTCAGCACAGGAGGTTAAACTCAGGCGTGGACTAAAGAAAGAATAGTTTTCTCACTCTGCAGATCCTCGCAGAGCAAACGGAAACATATGTAAAAGTTTTCATCTCAGCAAATATTCAGGATTTTAATTTTGAAGGCTTTTCATGAACTTCTTCAAACGTGAGATTTGTCTGTGATTATAACATTCACACGTCGCCTCAGCAGGCCCGAGAGCGGCTGCAGGAGAGTCCGACTCCAGGAAGTGTAAAGAAATGAGGGCTGGCTCGAGACTTTTGCACAGTACTCTTTATTTCAGCTGAGTTCAGGTATAATGTCTCTGCAGCTCGCTGACGTGCCTCACGGCTCGTCTCACGTCTCCGCCGTCGGTGGCATTCTCGCCTCCGTCAGCGAGCTGCGCCCGGCTGCTGTCAGTCTGCGGCTGCTGGAGTCGTGTTTCCTGCTGTAAAGATGCCCAGCAGGCCTGCAGGGAGCCAGGAGCAAGGCTCTTAATGAGCTGCGGCCCTGATTAAAGAGGCCGGCCGCCATTGCTGCTCGCTGTGACGGGAGGAAGCCAGCTGGCAGAGACGTAGCATCGGGCGCCGCAGGAGAAAATGACACTTTCAGAGAATAACTTTCCACACAGAGCAGCGGTACTCGATGTATGAGTGCTCACAGCGCTCCACAGCCACCTGGAAACGAATCGGACACCTGATGCTGAAAATCTTCATCATAGAGCTAAAGTTAAACTTTGATCCATCAAAGATGGGACCCCAACAGGAAGTCCCCATTGTAGGCCATGTTTGTCACTAATCTTGAACGTGGTGTCCACGCACATACGCCAGTCCGGTAGCTGTAGGCATGGCGCCACCTGATGGCAGCAGAAACATCATGTTTTGTACTTTGTCCCGTTCTGCTGCGATGCTGGACTTTTGCTTTGTTCTGTGTGTGTTGAGTCCTCCCACAGCGTGTGCTGCACCACGATCACTGATGACAGATTTAAGTGTATATTTGGTGGATGAGACAGACTCACACAATTCATTCACTGAAGTCAGTCACGCCT